ACTGGCCGACTGGTTTCCACCCCTATTTTGTTTGTGAATTCTAATAATGCTAATACGGAGTAGAACTTGTGTATATTGTTTATGAATTCCGAAATTTAGATTTTTATATTTTGGACTTATGGATTTGTGGTTATTGGTTGGGTATATAACAATTAAAATGTTGAAGTATACAATTATGCTCATTTTATGAAAAATAAACCAAACACACAAAGACAGTTTTCTGTTGTGCAGTTGATGAGTGTTTCGGATAACTGAATAATAGTATTATGAATAACATAACGATAGAACACAAAGTCTGAGTAATATACAAGAGAGAATCTAGAAGATAGAGTCCTCAACATATTAGAGTCCTATTACACCTCCTCAAGCTTTAGGTGGCAAACGAACAACATTAAGCTTGGAACGAAGAAGTTCAAAACGAGCGGCAGAGAGAGGTTGAGTAAAAATATCAGCAACCTGATCTTTCGTGGAGATAAAATGAACGGTTAGCTCACCACTAGAAACCTTGTCCCGTACAAAATGATAGTCCACCTCCACGTGCTTGGTCTTGGCATGAAAGACCGGGTTTGCACACAAGTAAGTTTTCCCAAGATTGTCACACCACAAGGATGGTGAATCAGTCGAGGCCAAACCAAGCTCCTTAAGCAAAGAAACAACCTAGGTAACTTCCGCAGCTACATCTGCCAAACCTTTGTACTCAGCGTCCGTAGACGAGCGCGCAACCGTGTGTTATTTGCGACAAACCCACGAAATAAGATTGTCACCAAGATATACAGCAAACCCACTCATAAATTTACGATCAACAGTGTCACCAGCCCATTCAGAGTCAGAGTAAGCCCGTAGAGCAGAGGACACTGAACACTATAGACACAAACCAAAACACAACGTACCTTTAACATATCTCAGCACCCGCTTCAAAAGGGTCCAATGTGCAACTGTAGGAGAGTCCATATGCTGGCAAAGCTGATTAACCGCAAACGAAAGGTCCGGCCGCGTCACTGTTAAATACTGCAAAGCACCCGCCAAGCTCTTGAACTAAGTGGGCTTCTCATACGGCACATCATACTGGACAACCGGGCGAACCACTGAAACTGGTGTTGCAAGGGGCTTGTAATCAGTCATTCCAGCCCGCTTGAGAATATCAGTCATGTACCTGCGTTGTGACAAGACAAGTCCACCATCAAAAGAATTGGTCTCAAACCCAAGAAAGAAATTAGGAGACCCAAAATCCCGAATTTTAAAAGCAGAAGCCAACCGTCCTAATAAAGCAGAAACCAAAGCGAGATCACTTCCCATCAGGCGGATGTCGTCAACATACACAAGCAAAAAACACCTGATCCCCACTAGCAGAATAAGAAACAGCGAGACATCAGTCTTAGAGGCCTGAAAGCCCGCAGAAAGAAAAATGTCATGCAAACGCTTAAACCAAGCACGTGGGCTTGCTTCAAGCCATACAACGACCGCTGCAAAAGACAAACATAATTAGGATGGACAGAATCAGCATAGCCCGGAGGTTGCTTCATGTAAACAGTCTCAGCAAAACGCCCATTAAGGAAGGCATTATGAATATCCAACTGACGAAGGGTCCACCCGCGAGACAAGGCCAAGAACAACAACATTCGGACTGTGACAACCCAAAATATTTTTCCTAAATTCTATTTTATAAATTCCAAAATAATTATTTTCACTCTTCCAAATTTTTTTTCTTCTAAAAATCGGTGTATATTTTAAATCGAGTTTTTAAATAAATTCAACACCTAGAGTTATCCTACTTTGAAAATCCTAAGTTTTGGGTACATTTATGTACCAAGTTTTGACCCAAAAAGTCAATCTGAGTGAAACCGGAAAGGAACATGTGAAACCTGAACCAAGTGTTTCAATTAGAATATCTTTTAGAAAATCTATTTTTGACCCCAAGTTGTCTAAAATCATTTTTAAGACCATGGTCCATGATACAAGGTGAACCCTAAAGTATTATTTTACAATCTTACCCCCAAACCTTAACTATAAAAGATAGCATTTTCCCTTATTTCACTATTCATTCCAAAAATAATCTGCAGCATTCTCATCTCTCTCTCTCTCTCTTGTGTCTCTCTCTCCATCTCTCTATCATCTTCATGTTCTTCATCTTTGAAGCTTCTCTTCTCCAAGCCCTAGGATCAAGATTTGGTAAGCTTCCTCCTCTCTTTCTCCATTCCATCCTCTAGTTAAGTTACTAAGATGATATATTTATGTGGGTTTATTTGTTGTGCTTTTGAGTGGAAATGGTGAAGTTGTTGCTATGCTTTGGTTTGGAGAAGGAAGATAAAGGGTGTAGAAGAAGAGCTTAGGAATGGATGTGCTAAGAAGAATGTTAGGAATAAATTGTAATAGATTTTGATATGCCAAATTGTAAATCGTAGAACCCCCAATTTTATTTTTGATTAAACTAGTCGTGTCATAGACCAAGAAAGGGAAAATTAATACATTAGATGAGGAAAATGGAAGAAGAAGATATAAAGCCTAAAATCAAGAATTTGCCTAGTGAAAATGGCAAACAGAAGAGGAAGATGTATGCATATGAAGATGTATGCATGTGATATGAATTTCATGAAAACTTTCATCCGAGAAGAAATCCCTCAAGAAATCCATGAAGAAATCTCTCAAGAAATCTGAGAAGAAATCCCTCAAAGAATTCCCGAAGAAGTAGAACGTGACTTGGACTTTGCATGAAGCTATCTTGGAGATCTAGCATCTATAGAAAGAAAGGAGTACATCAAGTGGAATGAAATGGTAACTAAATGGTTGTACGGATGGAATGGTAGAAATTTGAAATATTAAACCCAAGGGCACAAGTTTAATCCCATATCCCACATATTTTATAGAAGCCAAGATTAAATCCATATCAATTGACATGGGAAGCAATTGAAGTAGTTTGAAAGTCAAGGAAGAGATATGAGATTTGCTAAATCAAGAAGGGAAATCAACAAAAATAGAAAGGGATGAGATATCTCAAGGGATTGCTAAATCAAGAAGGGAAATAAACAAAAATAGAAAGGGATGAAGTTTAAAACGAGGGAAATAAACAAAAATAGAAAGGGATGAAGTTTAAAACAAGGGAAATAAACAAAAATAGAAAGGGATGAGATATCTCAAGGGATGAAGTTTAAAATCAAAGAAGATGAAGTCTGGAAACAGTAAACCAGACGTGACGGAGGAAATACAAGAAGACGTTGCAGAAGGAAACCAGACGTGACCTTGATAGAGGAAATGCAAGAAATTGCAGAAGGAAACCAGACGTGACGTGACCGTGACAGAGGAAATACAAGAAAAGTTTAAAACGAGGGAAATAAACAAAAATAGAAAGGGATGAGATATCTCAAGGGATGAAGTTTAAAATCAAAGAAGATGAAGTCTGGAAGCAGTAAACCAGACGTGACGGAGGAAATACAAGAAGACGTTGCAGAAGGAAACCAGACGTGACCTTGATAGAGGAAATGCAAGAAGTTGCAGAAGGAAACCAGACGTGACGTGACCGTGACAGAGGAAATACAAGAAGTTGCAGAAGGAAACCAGACGTGACCGTGACAGAGGAAATACAAGAAGAAGCAGAAGGAAACCAGACGTGACCTTGATAGAGGAAATGCCGTGACAGAGGAAATACAAGAAGTTGCAGAAGGAAACCAGACGTGACCGTGACAGAGGAAATACAAGAAGAAGTTGCAAAAGGAAACCAGACATGACCGTGACAGAGGAAATACAAGAAGAAGTTTCAGAAGGAAACCAGACGTGACAAAGATAGAGGAAATACAAAGTGATAGAGGAAATACAAGAAGTTGCAGAAGGAAACCAGGCGTGACCGTGACAGAGGAAATACAAGAAGAAGGAAACCAGAAACCAGACGTGACAGAGGAAATACAATAAGAAGTTGCAGAATGAAGTATACTAGTCTAAACCAGGAAGAGATTTGCAATAGGGCTTCAATTCAGAAGATATAAATAGCAATGGAGAAGTTGTAGAAGGAAATATACTAGTCTAAACTAGTTAGGGAATAAATTAGAGAATACATTTTGAAGATAGAAAACCCAGATGGCGTGATCTACACCAGAAGAAGTATGGGAAGCCATTTTTTCGTATATTTGAAGCTCAACTTGCAAAGAATCTCTGACATATCTGCAACACTATCTTATCCTCTGAAAATGCTACAATAGCTATAAGAAATTCAAATTTGAGATTGACTTTTTCCAACGGGAAGAATCTCAAAACCGGCTATATAAGGATGAAGATTGAAGTAGTGGAAAGCAAGGTGAATGAACATAGAGCAACAAACAGAGCTAAACAGAGCATACAAATTACAAAAGCGCTTTCCAAATCAAGAGTTATACTTGATATATTAAAAGTGAGAAAAACACGAGTGATACAGAGCTTACAAAAGAAATATCCAAGAGTGTTAGAATTTTCATCAACTACAAGAGACTTGGCGCACCATTGAAGATCATCAACAGAGTCCCAAAGTTGGAAGCAAGGCAAACTATTTTTGGAGCAAAACAAGTAGAAGTTCTACCTAGGGGTGTAAACGAATCGAATCGAGTCAAATACCTCACTATTCGATTCGAATTCGACTATATATTCGAATATTTGTATTCGTATTCGTTTAATATTCGAATCTCAAATTTGATTCGTATTCGATTCGACCAGTTTATTCGAATATATTCGATTCGACTCGAATATTCGAATTCGAAAAGCCAAACATAATTTTTTACAAATTTCTCAAAAAAAAATTAAGATAAAATATAATAAAAATTAATATTTAAATAGAAAAAAAATTTAATATTAATATACTAATCAAGAATCACGTGAAAATAACAACAAAAATTCAATCATCAAATTCATACATTAAATACTAACATAAAAATTTAAGTCTGCATTAAGCTTAACTTGAATCCAAAAAATAAAAACTCAAAAAAATCCATAAATTAAGTACTACAATAACAAATTACACTTCAATTATAATCAAATCATCATGCTTGCAATATGACATCAATTGGTTCTTCTTCCTCCTACAAAAAATGAAAATAAAGTTAATATTATTATCATTCAATCAATAAGATATATAAATTTACTAAAGTAGAATGTACATATGTCATAATAGGCTTATCGATCCCATGAAGTTGACGAACCCAATCTGCTCCACAAATCAAAACTTGCACCATATCAGAAGATAGTTTAGCACGATAAGGATCTAAAACTCGGGTACCTGCACTAAATGTGGCTTCTGATGCCACGGTGCTAACTGGAATAGCTAAAACATCACGTGCTAATTTAGACAAAATACTGAACTTCAATTCATGAGATTTCCACCAAGATAAGGCATCAAATTCAGAAGTTACTTCACCATCTTGACACTTATAAACCCCTTCCTCCAAGTAAATGTCCAACTCTGATTTGTTTGGAGTTTCATCTTCAACACTGTCCAAATATTTATCATACAAATGCAAACCAGAAAGGACAACTTTTCCTTTAGAAGTAGAGCCTGTAGAAGTAACAAAAGAACTCCCCATATGTGTCACAGAAGAACTACCTTTTCGAATTTTCATGTTATCAATTTGAACATATTCATAGAACAAGTCATATAATGCATCCTTGACCTTCGTCACATTTATACGTGCATCATTTGCATTATATATTTGGTTGAAAGCAAAATTAACCAACCTCATTTTGTACCTAGGATCAAGTATTGCTCCAATAGACATCAAAAGATTGCAATCACCCCAATATTTGTCAAATTTTGTCTTCATCTTTTCAATCATATTTCTAATCAGCTCTTCATGATGAAACTCATTTTCATTTAAGACATGCTTGACCCTCCAAACAACACCAAGAAAAACATTAGAAGTGGGGTAGTTAGTTCCAGAGATCACGTGAGTAGCTCCATAAAACGCCTCTAACATGCTAAGAACATCCTGTATTCTAGTCCAATCTTCCAAGCTAGGACAACATTTATACGAAGGCTCTCTTTGTGCAAATATTGGAAATGCATCCTTCAGTTTAATGGCTACAACTAACATTTCATATGTAGAATTCCAACGAGTAACACAATCAAGAATTAACTTTTTCACCGAAATTCCCAAATGATGCACAATTTCAGAGAACTTCAACAACCTAGACTCAGACTGATTAATAAATCGCACATTATTCCTAACATCTTCAACAATGGTTTTAATTGTAGAAATACCATCCTGAACAACAAGATTCAATATATGAGCAGTGCACCTCACATGAAATAGCTTACCACCCAAAGGTAGCTTATGGCTCCTGGAGAAAGTTTGTTTGGCAATTCTAATTGCAACATCATTGTTTGAAGCATTATCCACGGAAATAGTGAAGATTTTATGCTCTATCCCCCAATCTTTTGTGGACTTCATAACCCCATTAATGATATCAACACCTGAAATATGACAATAATATATTTAAAGTCAAGAAATAGTTATTATTAATTAATTAAAATAGAGATATATTTACAAACAAGTGAACAACATTACCAGTATGTGGAGGAGGAAGAGGCATGAAACTAAGTACACGCTTTTGAAGTTGCCAATTTGAATCAACAAAGTGTCCAGTGACACACATATATGAAATCTTTTGCACCTTAGACTTCCAAATATCAGTGGTCAATGATATCTTATTGATGGTTCTTAACATTGATTGTAACTTTTTCTTCTCTATTTCATAAACAGTAATGACATCATTCCTTGCCATGGCACGAGAGAGTTTTTCAAACTGTGGAAGATTAGCTTTGAACATAAAAGTAAATCCAATGAGCAATAGCTTCTCTTTGCTTCATATGATCATATTTACCATCTGACAAAAGAGGTGTCTCAAACTTGGATTTTGCATTCTGAAATTGCAAGGTTTTTGATTTTTTGTATGAAGCTTCTTTTGTGTACACCTATTCAAATGGTTCCAAAGATGAGTTGTTGTAGAAGACGCTGACTTAGAAAGGAATGCTTTAAAATGTATACATTGTAGCTTTATACTTCCATCCTTTGCAGTAACTTCAGTAAAATCAACGTAGGCTTTTGATACCCTCTTTCTTTTCTTCCTTTGAAATTGGTCTTGATCATCATTATTTTCACATTCCTTCTCATCATCACCTTTTTCATCTCCAACATCTATATTTTCATTTTGTACACCATCATCATTAACCTCCAAGTCGTGTACATTAACTTCATTAAAATCAACATAATTGATTTCCTGAAAAAGTTTAGAAGCATTCACTAAAGATACCAACATACATTATCTAGATTCTAGAGTTTAGACAAGGAAACAAATGACACATATTCAATTACTTATTCTAAGACCATAAATTGAGAAAAACTATGAAAATTTTAGATAATTACCTCATCCACCTCATATTCTCTAACCTCGTGTACTTGTGTTTGCTCATTTCCTTGTGCTTGTGTTTGCTCATTTCCTTGTGATGGCTCATTTGGATTTGAAGATTTCATATTTCTGTTAAATGTTTCCAAGTACTATATTTACTATTTCACAGTAGATTAAGAAATCAAGATTGATTCTGTTTTTTTTATATAAATAAAAATTATATGGTTCAATTGCTTTCAATTGAACCATATATGAAAACACAGTTATATTCTGCTTTCAAGCTTTCAATTCAACCATATATGAAAACACAGTTATATTCTGGTTTCAATTGCTTTCAAGCTCACTTTGAAAACACAGTTATATTCTACTTTGAATTGCTGTTTTATAGATGAGTGATGAGTGATTTTAGGCATTGGTTCCATTTCAAGAATGTTATTAAACTCAAAATAGACAGACCCAAGTTGTTCGGAGAGATTCAGTAGCAATTTCTTTGTATAATGAATTTATTCATTCTAGAATCTAGAGGTAGGCTCGGTTTAACAAATAACATTTATACAAATAAAAAATAACAAAATAACGTATTAACATTTATACTTACTGCGCCGGAAAAGAAGAGGGGTTGGAGGCTTGGAGCTTCTCTGGCACGAAACCTTCACAGATATGGAGATTGGAGTGCAGGCGTTGGAGCTTCTTCGGCGCGGCACCGGTACGAGTATGGAGACTTGGAGAGGAGATGTTGGAGACTTGGAAGGAAGTGCAGACTGCAGAGCTGTGGGAGAAATAGAGAATGGAAGCTTGAAGGCAGCAGCATCGGAGGATTCGGATTTCGGAGGCGTTCTCCGTTCTTCTCCCGAAGAGATCGCGAGACTTGGAGTTGGAGGGGTAAGTGCTAGCCTGTACTCTGTTAGGGTTTTGCTTTAGTTTTAGACTTTTAGTACTAATATAAAACTAATATAAAATATTATATATTATATAAAATTATATATACATATATTCGAATATATTCGAATATTATTCGAATCGAATATTTTCTTATTTGTATTCGGATTCGAATAATATTCAAATCAGTATAAGTATTCGAATTCGGATTCGAATTCGAATTATTCGAATTCGAATCGAGATATTCGAATTTGAATCACGAATCGAATTCGAATTATTTGATTAGTTTACACCCCTAGTTCTACCGGAGCGTAGAAGTCGAGGGGAAAGTAGCACGGAGTTGTGAAATCCTGGATAGTAGCACGGAGTTGTGAAATCCGAAGTTGTAGTTCTACTGGAGCGTAGAAAGGGGAGGAAAGTAACGCGGAATCATGAAATCCTGGAAAGTAGCACGGAGTTGTGAAATCCGAAGCAGCACTGTTGTAGGCACTGGGTGTGATTAGTGCGGGCTTGGTGATCAAAACACTAGATCACGGAATTCATTGTATCTAGGAACCAAGTAGTGGTGGATATAGTGAATTGCTCTTGGAGGATAAGAGCAAGTGGAGTAGGAGGATTGCACCACCTCCGAACCACTATAATTGCCTTGTGTTCTTTACCGCTTTATTTACTTACTGCTCTTGCTTGCTTCTCACGAGGATGAACTTGACACATACCTCATCTTCTATTATTTCTGCGACTCTAGCAATCTAGTTGCCAAAACTGGTTTGAGAATCAGAATTGATGCGTTGAGGCCGGGGATCATGCTTTGCAAAATTGTTTAAGATAAAATTTGAACCCTTAATCTCTTAATTAGTAATTAGAGTTTCTCCACTTGAACAACTTCAAACTTATAGGAATTATCTTGGATTATATAAAATATTATTTGGGTTTGAAGGGTTATTTATATTTAAAAGTATTTTTATATAGAAAATCATAAATATGTTGAGAAGGGTTTAAATGACCAAAATCTATGACTTACCAAGAAAATTCTTTTTCTAGAATTATAATGTATTTATTATGTGTTGTTGGTTTTGAGGAGAAGGTCGGGCTCTCTGAGGCTCAGCCATGTGTTGTTTTGGACCGGGACTCGTCGGCCCTTGAGGCTCGGACACTCGGGCTCATTATGACACGCTTGTATGAGTTGTATTTCTTGGATTTTTGAGTAGAAGCATGTTAGTAGACAAAGTATGAATTTAGTCCCTGAGTTTTTGTTTAGCTTTTGAGATCAAAGTTATGAAATATCAATTTGGCTTTTGCTTACAAGAATTATTTGATTAAATGTGCTATTTGCTTGGCTTAGCTCTTGAATAGTAGATTTGTTGAGATTCTTGAGATTTCTTGCATAAGTCACTATTTTACAAACTGTGCATTTGAAAAGGGCATTTTGCCACTTTTAAAGAGTAAGTACAGTAAAGGCTCAGAGTGAAGACTTAAACTATTTTCAAAACCTTATATATCTATTTTGGAAAATCATTATCTATTTGCATTGAGAAGTTGCATGATATTTGATTTCCAAAGTTATGAGAAAGAGAAGTTGATTCAGAATAATGTGCATATCAAAGCTTGCATGAGATAGAGTTTGTTGCATGAGATATATATCTATATACTATCTATTGTGAGAAAAATAGTATTTTCGAGGACCGTTAGGACTATGTCATTTCAGAAAAAAAGAGAAAGAAAGAAAGTTTGAGAAAGGAAAGAATCGGACATTGCGAACCGACAGATATTTAGATGTAACAAGGTCGATATTCCCGCGTTACTAGGTTGGAGACTTCCCGCCGGGCTTGAAATCCTGGTTAGGGGGTGTGCACACTAAAAGTACGATACGTGATTCCACAGAGAAAGAAAAAAGAGATTAAAAAACCACCAGAAACGGTTCTGTGGGCGAGTTGAGTATGTGGCCGGCTAGATTGCCAAGCCGGTTAGGTCCATTCACGATTCGTGAAGACCTACCTCCCCATGAGTTAGAGGTTCCGTTGATACGGATGTGGCGGCTGCACGAGATTGCACCGTTCGCTAGGGCTTCGTTGCGGCGGAGTACCTGCCTTGCCCAAGAAGAGAAATGAGAATCATGTGAAAGTTTGAGAAAGTTTGAGAAAGCAAGTAAGAAAGAAAGAAGAGAAAGTGAGTCAAGAGTCTCAAAGAGAAAGAAGAGAAAAGCGAGTATGTGTGACTCAAGTACTCAACATAAACCTCCACAGAAAAAGTATACCTTTTTGAGAGAGAGTATATCTATATACTTATAGCATCATGTCATTTATTGTTACATGTATTACATGACTTGCATGTGTTGCATTTAGTGCATGTTGAGTTGTATAACTTGTTGTTGTTGTTGTTGAGTTGGCATGATAGCTTTAAGATTGATTGTCATTTAGCATTAAAGCATGAGATTGTTTGTTATGTTATTTAGTATCTCTTGTCTATCAGTTGAGCATGAGATTGTATATTGAGCTATTTTTAGTTGTATTTGTTGAAGCATGTGAGTTGTGTTTAAGTTGAGTACTTGTGAAAGCATGATTATTTGTTGTATAGGTTGCAAGCATATAGAGTTGATTATGAGTTTGTTGAGATTGTTATTTAAGGGTTGAAAGTGTTTAGATTATGTGTACTTGCCAAATGATTTTCAAAATCTATATCTATAGTACTTTACAGGGTTGAATAACTTTATACTTAGCTTCATGCTAACGGGTTTATATTTTACTGTTTTTATAACCCCTTTCAGGTGGGCCCAGTTGTTGAGCGCACACGAGTAGTTGTAGTGCGTAGATGAGTTGTTAGATTTTAGATAGTATCTGTTTGGATGTTTTTATCTAGGTACTGATGTTGATGTTAGATGTTTGTTGACTGTTGACTTAGATTGATCTTTTGTTGGTGTTGAACAACGGGGTTGTACCCCAAGCTTTAAGGTTTTTAATGAAGTTAACTTGTTTAGTTTATTTCATTTTTAACCAGTGCAGTCACCTCGAGTGGTAACTGTGGCGGTAACACCCGTTGGTTGGTTTTTAGTTGGTTTAAGTTATTGAAATATTTCTTTATTTCTTATTTAGCATGTCTTATTAAGTTAAGTATTTGGGAATTTAGATTATAAAAAGTGGGGTGTTACACGGACGGTGGTAGGCTTCACCACAGGACTAAAGGTGTCAAAGAAGACTTCACCGGCAATCTGGTTGAAACCCTTCGCAACCAAACGAGCCTTGTAGCGCTCAACTGTACCATCCGCCTTACGCTTCAATCTGAACACCCACTTGCAGCCAACAATATTCTGACCAGGAGAGGCCGGGACCAACCTGTAACAACCCAAAATTTCATTTTCTAAATCCAGTGTTAAGAAATCCCAAAGTAGTTTTTCACTCCATTGAAAAATTTTGCGAGCAATCGGTGTTTGAATAAAATAATTTTTTTTCCATTTTAAAGTTAATTCGACACCAAAGAAATGAATTTCATTCGAAAGTTTCAAAGTTTCGAGTACTTTGCGTACCAAGATTTAAATCAAGAATTTTACCCGAGTGAGACCGGGAGAATTAAAAAAGGGAATTTTGAACAAGTGTTCATCCATTCAACTTTTGGAAAAATTCACTTTCCACCCCAAAGTAATAAAGAAATATCACTTTTAGCCCATGGTTCATGATGCAAGGTGGACCACAAAGCATCCAAAATATTATCCTGATTCATTTTTTTAGCTAGTAGAATTACCTCCTTGCCCTCAACCAATCATTGTGTATAAACCTAGGGTTTTGAACCCTTATAAATAGAATGGTGTTGGCCTCATTTCCTCCTGATCTCTTCCTTGGCTGCCAACACCATAGTAGTAAGCTTATTCTCTATTCATTTTCTCCTTCTCTCATTTTCTCTGACATAACATCTCTTCTTAAGGTTTTAGACTTAGGCCTTGTGTGGTTGTTTGAGATGTTTATGTGGTGAAAGAAGTAGAGATCCTTGAGTGAAGTGGAGCTGAAAAACCAAGCAAGAAGAAGAGGTCTACAAGAGGTATAACCCCATGGATTCCTCTCTAGTTTTGGCTCTGTGAAGCCTAGTATTGAGTAGAAATGAGTAGAAATTATGAGTTTTTAATGTGTTTATGTTTGGAAGTGATCTAGGATGTATTTGTGATTTGTTGGAATTGTTTTGGAAGTGTTTGGACAAGTTTTTGCAGGTAGAACTCTATCTGGTGCACAACACAGTGTGCACCAGATCAGAGTGGCGA